ATGCCACTGTCACTAATTTTACTTGACATTTAACTTGTATCCCAACATTAAATAATTCTCTAGAGGCACCATTATTGTTCAATTAACATCTCAACTCTCATCCTCATGTGATATTGTCTAAAGAATAAGATAACTAACAGGATTATCAAGTAGCTCTTTATTTTTCTTCTCCCCGAAAATATTCTTAATCTGGTTTGCCCAATGGCAAGTGAAGTTTGTGACACACTAATTTGGAAAAACAAAACCTTCCCTCTTCTGGATGACGAACAAAAACAAGTATGAGGGGATAGAAGGGGGGTGCAGGGTATCAGGCTTTAAGACCATCTGAACCTTAATAGTGATTTTATAGCCATATATTCTTCTTGGGTAATGAAGAAGAAAATGATGACATTATCTGAAACCTTTTCCCATTAAAGTCTCACTGATCCAGCCCTTCATACGAACACTTGTGCTAAAGCTGCTAGGCGCCATCCCAAACCACATAGGGTGGTCATTCTTCCATCCAACTCACTATTGGTCCAGCTTATTACTTATTCTAGCCAATTGACCTCAAACAGAAAGGAATCATGATCCATAACATGTTTGTATGGTCATTCAACATCGTTTTTACCAACCCCAGCAGCCTATCAAAATTTACCATCTTTCGAGCATGCTGCAGCATCAAATCATTATCATTTTTCAAAACAAAGAGTAGCTTCCAGAATCGATGGATCAAAGTTAATAAAATTCATACAGGAACAAATACCCAAGCAGAAAGAAATCAACATGTCTTTGATCATACCTAAACATAAAACTCTTAGTACCAAATCATTTTATAGCCAAAACAACAAAACAATGTTAGTTTGCAAAATCACCATAAAGAACAATAAGAAACAAACTGCTAACAAATATGAATATTTTGCATGGCCACCAGATCGATCGCATATAGGGTGACTTGGAATTGTATATAAGGCTTTACTGAGTCTGTATAGTAATTTGGCTTAAAATTTTCAGGCCATGTAATTTAAGGCCCACAATTTCCAACACATTGGGTCTGTGAGCCCATTGGGCCAGGATGTGCCAATAAGTATTTGAGAAGAAAACTGGAAATTGTTCTCCACATGTGGTAAGTGCCTTGAACTCAAGGGGATAGTTCATCATACCCTACAATAGAAGGCACCCTGATGCACCGGGCATGCTTTATGATAATGTCGATCAGGCATCTCATCACCTGAAACAACAAATAAGAAGCATCAGATCACCTGATCAAAGAAGACGGCATTAAATCCCTTTCGACCTTCTTATAGTTCCCTACAAGAGAGTTCGGTTTCCGCCTGATCCATCAATCCCGCTTTATGACAATGTCGATCAAACATATCATCAACTAAACCCTAGAAGTCATCTAGTAAAAGAAAAAGGGTGAAACCCTAAAAGCAAAGAGGAGATCGGATCTCGAACGGTGCCCATCTCTTTCTCGACCATGGCCTGCATCTCACGAATTTAATCGCCTTTATCTCGTTCAGTTCCCGCTAACAATCCAAATCGACAAGATTGATAAGACCCTAAAGTCTTATCATAAAAATACTCTGATACTAAATGATGAGACCCTAAAATGCTCTGATACCAATTGATAAAGACTCTAAAGTCTTATCGTAAAAGAAATGAAAAAAATGATAAGGCTATGATACCAAATGATAAGACTCTAAAGTCTTATCGTAAAAGAAAGAGGAGAAAAGGGAATGATAATGATCGCTTCGAGAGGATCGGCCTCCTTGATCGTTTCGAGGGGATCGACCTCCTTGATTGCTTCAAGGGGATCGACCTCCTAGGGTTTGTCTATAGAGTGGAATTAACATTTCATTGATTAACTGATTGATTGATTTCCAAAAAAAGGGTTACATCACTATTTATAGAGTTCCACCTAGAATTCATCAGGACTTGGACTCTTAATAATAAATAAATATTAAATAAACCTCTATATGACTCTAATTGAACTAAACATACTCAATAAATATTATTCAAAAGCTCATAAAAAGAGTCCTAACAATTCCTCCCTCTTCAAATCAGCCTTGTCCTCAAGGCTGAGCAGCATCAAACTCGAGGAGCACTTCAGTTATAGGCTATCTGCAATGCATCACAATCCGCTGATCAAGTATTGTCTCCACTTTTTGACAATGTAAGCAACAGGTTGGTTTTTTAGTGTAGTAATTGTTGCAAGAAACTCTTGGCCTTGTATAATCAATTTTATCTTTGAGCATTTGCTATCACAAGTTAAAATTCATTCATCAGCGATCTTTACTTCGAATATGTCATAGCCTTCAATGTGGTGGGCCAATTGGTCAATAGTCTCACTGTCCATAAAATTATTAGTGCTACCAGTATCAATCAAAACTATAACACGTTGATGTTCTAGAGTTCTGCCAACTTCCATAATTTGCGGGTTAGAGTAGTCGGCTAATGCATACATTGTATATATGGTAGGTCCAACATCTTCATTAGAATTTATACCTTCATGATCGGAGTCCACGTTCTTAGTTTTTGGTTCCTCTCTGATTGGTTCAATCATCAGAAATTGCCTTTGTTTACATCGGTGCTCCATACTCCACTTTTCATCATAGTACAAACCCCTTGCTGATCTTTCCTTACTAATTTTTTTCTCATGTAGATGTGCAAATGAGATCGCAGCTATCATAGTGTGGGGTTGACGAGCCTTAACTTCACACCGGATCTCTAGAATAAGCCCTTCAATAAATGTACACAGAAGTTATCAGTATGACTAATCTCTAGCTTGATTTGATAATCTTTCAAACCTACTATGATATTCTAATACTGTAGAAGTCTAACGAATGTTGGCGAGCTGGCAATCAACATTCTCATATTTGGATGGGCCAAAGCAAACAAGAAACCCTCTTTTGAACTACTCCCATGAAGGAACTCCGTGGAAAGTTTCATACCAATCGTACCACTGGATTACATCTCCATCGAGTTGGATTGAGGCCACTTCTACTTTAGATTCTTTTGGGGTTCTGTGAAAACGAAATTTTTTTTCCGCCTTAGAGATCCAACTAGTCGGATCCCAATCTTTCCATCGTGAAAATTCTACCCTAATGCGTGGGTAGTGTGTGTCACCATCCTAGGGCCCTTTTCCTGTATCTCTCAATCTGTTCAACGTAGAACTTGAGCTCCAATCATGTTGAAATTTGTTGAGGCTCTCCAGTAGGCTCTTTTTGAAATCATTAAGTGTTTCTTGCAATCGGTTCTTAATTCCGATTTTCCATGCTTCCATTTGTGCTTTCACTGAGTTATCGGTGGCCATTGCGCAAGACAACAAATATGGGTTTTCAACTCCTATTTTTTATATCGATCAAGGGCATCAGCACTGTCAATGTGAAGCTGCCGAGGAGGTGGATGCCGAGGGCAGTGTTGCGGGTCACTGTGTTGAAGGAAGAGTTGCTGCCTTGTTTCTGTCGCTACGTGGGGTGAGAGCGCCGGGGCTGGAAGGCGACTACGTCGATGTGGCTGTAGCTACTGCGACCCAAGGGGCGATCATCGAGTAGCGGGGTTGAGGTTGCGGTGATGGTGCAGTTGATGTAACGTCGCCAAGGGCTCACCACTGTAGTGGTTGCGACGGCACGGATGGAAGGTAGCGTTGCTTTGTCTCTGTCGCACTACGGAAGGAGACACTGGTGATGCCGAGGGATCGCGTTTGGTTGAGGAAACGACGGTGGCTACAGTGGTCGTGGTTGCCTTGGTTTGATTGCCGCGAGTAGGGATGGTCGAGCGACTGCAGCTGCGACCCAAGGGAAGGTAGCGATGGTGACGCGGTTGGGGTAACGTCACCGACGGTAGAAGCGGCGATGGGTGGTCTGTTGATTAGGAAATGGCGGTCGCGGCCCTTCTGGCTCGAGCGAGATGTGAGCAGCAAGGAGGTGAGGTTGTTGGCCCGGGGGTGTGCAGCGGCGGTGGTGGTGGCTGCTAGCTGGGCAACAGCGACGACGATGGTGGTTCGTCGGCTAAGAAACAACGGCGATGGGTGGGCTGATCGGAAGCAAGGGAAGACCCTAAATCTTATCGTAAAAGAAATGAAAGAAATGGAAGAAAAGGGAATGATCGCTTCGAGGGGATCGACCTCCTTGATCACTTCGAGGGAATCGACCTCCTTGATCACTTCGAGGGGATCGACCTCCTTGATCGCTTCAAGGGGATCGGCCTCCTAAGGTTTATCATAATAAAATGGAATAATATTTTATTGATTAACTGTTTGATTGATTTCGAAAAGAAAGGATTATATCATTATTATAGGGTTCCACTTAGAATCCATAATTCTTAATAATAAATAAAGATTAAATAAATCTCTAATTTTAACTGAATTAAATATATTTAATAAATAACTAAACTAAACGGCCTCAATAAATATTATTTAAAAACTTATAAAAAAAAGATCATCAGGCGATTATGCTCGGTGTTTCGAGGGATCTCGTAACGGAGAGTGACGACCGGAGCGGGAATGACGTCGGTAGCGGCCTCACTGAGGCTGTCCATGTCGGACTCGCCCTCTCCGACGCGAGCGTTGCTCTCGCCTCCCTCGGCTCCATCGCTCTTCTAACTGAGGTGCCGCCCGCATGGAAACTTCCTACGGGTTCTTAATGATGGCATAATTACAGCCGATATAAAGTTCATAACGGTATTTAATTCCGTTACTTCCTCGACCAATGTCGTGTACACATGAGACTGCCTCTGCTATCCCCGGAACACTTGCCGGTCGAACTCACTCGGACTCTGATAGCCAGCTTAAAGTGTTTTACCTACCTGCATAAGTCGGTACCCATAACGTACCAATCTTGAGAACCGTTGGGCTGCCCGAGTCTCCGACAGCCTGCTCCAGCCATAATGCAGGTAGCTGGGACGAGTGCGTCGTGATGGGTAGATAAACTATTGCTCTCAACGGGACGTGTACCGCGTAGCTTACCCCTTACAGACGGTGAGCGGACTCGGAAAAATGGCAACCTACTTATTAATTGAGACCGCTTTGAGGGATCGGGTCACTCGCCATTGTTTGCTTCTAGCTCTACTCTTGCCGACGGAACGGAAGAGGCCCGTCGAGCGCGGTGTCGGTAGTGGTGGGAGCAGCGGCGGGAATGGCGGGCGGGAGCGACAAGATCGACTACGTGTTCAAGGTGGTGCTGATCGGGGACTCGGCAGTGGGGAAGTCTCAGATCCTGGCGCGGTTCGCGCGCAACGAGTTCAGCCTCGACTCCAAGGCTACCATCGGGGTGGAGTTCCAGACGCGGACCCTCGTCATCCAGCACAAGAGCGTCAAGGCCCAGATCTGGGACACCGCCGGCCAAGAGAGGTACCACCCTCTGTCCCCCGCACTGAGTCCTAGTACCTCCCTTGGAAAAGAAGATCTATGAGTTGCCGTGCAATTCTGATTGGTTCTGGTGCTTTGATCTTGGTGATTTTGCTTCAAATGGTTCGATTCTTGTTGGGTACTAGTGATTTAGCTTGATGTTTATGCAGCGCATTAGGACTAACTGGTTCTTTAGATTATTTCTTCTATGCCATTAGAATCGTCTGGATCTGACACTGTTGATTGGGGCCTGACGCTGTCTTTGAGTTCTTGAATTCGAGTTGATTGCCGTCTATCGATCCGAGATAAACTACGTGTTGAAGTGGCGGTGGAAATGAATGAGTTTATTGCAATTGATTGAGGTCATAGCTACACTTGTTGAGTTCTTTTGTGGCGTTAATCTTGGAACTGGTTGTTGGTGAACTAATGCGCCGTGGCTGAGGAGTCGGCATGGCTTGGTCCACAGGTCGATGTCCGGAGTTCTCAGTCGGCTGGTTGGCTAAGGTGTTGAGGCGTCTCTCGACTGGTTGGCTAAGGTGCTGAGGCCGACCGTATCAGGAGGTCGGGATGATGACCTCGCCTTCTGGCGAGGTGTCTCTCGGTTGGGACGGCCGCGCCTCCGGGGGTGGCAGAGCTCCTGCACAAAGGCTTTCGTCGGGGGATTCCTGACTTTGGCCCCTCGTAGATTAAGTTAGTGGTGGCTTTTTCCTCTTTTTTCTTTCGGCCCCTGGCTAGATGTCGGCCAGAGGCTTTTATGCTTGCGCGGGGATCGGTCGTACGCGGATTTGGCGTGGCGGCCGATCCTCGCGCGGTGAGATGGTACTGTTGTTCGGCCGTCGCCCGATATGCACGGAACAGCGCCATACTATCACGGACAAACTTCTAAACAAGATGTTCGATGTAATACTTATGTGTGTCCGTGTCTTTTGGCATGTTCATGCCTTGTACAGCATATAGAGGGGCGGCCGAAGGCTTAATAGTCCCACTTTAGTTGGGTTGGTGGCCTCTTTAGGCTTGTAAATAAAGGTTGTGTCATGTGGACACTTGCGAGAGATTTTCGGTCTGTAATTGACCATTTTACCCTTTGTTGTGCCACTGTTCAAAGCTTGTAAAGTCTGTTTGTAATTTGCATTGTCTATGAAGTGTTTTTCGGAGATGTTTGCTTGTGGATCCCGATTGAGGCGTTCTCTCTAACCCGTTCTCCCTTTTGGTGGTCCTAAGGGATAATGGGAGGCTTCGGGGAGGCTGACCTTTGCGGACGGAGACGCAAGGGTGCCGCACGACTTAGGCAAAACCAGCTAAGTCCGTGTCATATGGTATCAGAGCGGGACAAGCACTCATAGAAACTCTTAGCATGCAAACGTGGAGGACCTAGCGGGACTGCGTTGAGGGCAGTCAGCACACGCGCGACCGTTTGGGGGAAAACGGGCATGGAGATGTAGGGAAAAGGAGTCGCTCAGAGGAGCGGGCATCTGAGATTGGCATTCAGAGGAATGGCCAACCCTTCGCGCAAGAGGCACCACGAGAACAGGCAAGCTTGGATGAATGTGGAGCGCACAAAGGTTGGGATGGCTGAGTTTGAGCTACGGCTCAACGTTGACAACTATACTTGATGGTGCTCTAGGCAAGCGAGGCGCTTGGCAAGAATGAGACCATCCAAGGTGGAATGAGTTGCTCAACGACCAAAAGATTTATGCAAAGCTCACAGAGGTGAGGGGAATTGCTAACTCGAAGAATTTGGTACTCATGCATGGGCTTGTATGCGGACGATGGAATGTTCGTGGCCATCCCAAGGCGACCGAGACTCGA